ATATAAGTGGAATATTGATTGGTTCAACGTGATTTTTTTAATCTATTTTCACATTGCCTGTCTTTATGGAATCTATTTCAATCTCACCTCACTAAAATTGTATACTGCGATACTTGGTAAGTTATAAAAAAATCAATTAGAATATTATAAGCTTTGTTATGCAATCGATTGCTATTATCAATCGCACTATGTCATAGATAATATACATATCCTATTATTGCTAGCAGCGATCTATTATGATTTTAATTTATCGCTACAAAAGAATATATAATATAAACTCAATGAAAAAATAGAAAACATTAAACAATATTCTATTCTTAACTTTTCAGCGATTATTACAATACCAGCATCAATTCTCGGTATTACAGCTGGTGCTCATAGATTATGGGCTCATAAGGCTTACAAAGCAAAATGGCCAATGAGAATAATTCTGATGATTTTGGAATCTTTGGCGTTTGAAGTAAGTCCATTCACTTCTACTACGTATACGTGTATAAATATAAATAATAGTAAAAAACTTGTTCATTTAATTCTAGTAAATTGAAAAACCTATAATTTGTAATAAAACATTTTTACAAAACAATAAATATTTTATAATAATTTTAAATAAAAATATAAATGAAAAATAGTAAATAATGTATTGAATATCAGAATTAAATCAAACACATGAATCAAAATAAAATGATGCATGTATGAACGGTCGAAAGTTATGCAATAATGTGAACAAATGAGTGCTATTGTTGATATTACAGAGACCCATTTACATATGGGTGAGATATCACCGAATCCATCACAAGTACACCGACACGGATGCTGATCCTCATAATTCGAAAAGGGGTTTCTTCTTTTCTCACTTTGGTTGGCTGATGCTAAAAAAACATCCCGAAGTTATAAAAAAAGGAGCAACGATAGATATGAGCGATCTTGAGAAAGACCCACTGGTTATGTGGCAACTAAAGTAGATATCAATTTTTAGAAGATTTTAGAATTTTTTCCTTTCCATTAAATAATCAAATATATTTGCTTGTTTTCTTTTTTTCTAGATATGCTAATATTTTCATGTCACTCGTTTGTTTCGTCATTCCAACGTTGATACCTGTATTTTTTTGGGGAGAGAGTTTAATGAACGCTTGGTACGCCACAACTATTAGATACATCATTTCTTTAAACGCTATCTTATTAGTAAATTCTGCAGCTCATATGTGGGGTACAAAACCATACGATAAGTATGTAAACGTTATTTTTCTATTAGAATATTAATTGAACTACGAGTATGTGATAATTTTTACTTATGTATTTTTATAATTAAAGAAAATAAAAATAAATTACTATGTAGAAAAGAAATTGTTTGAGTGTTTTGACGACATGCGTCGCACTCCAACGTATTAAAATAGAATTTTCTCTCGTATAGATTGATTCTTTTAAAATAATGTTTATTATAATTTTTTTTTGACAGCTCCATATCCCCAACAAACAGCCTTTCGATTGGTATAGCTGCTCTCGGTGAAGGTTGGCATAACTATCATCACGTATTTCCGTGGGATTACAAAGCTTCTGAATTAGGAAACTACAAAGTAAACTTAACAACGGCATTTATCGACGGTTTTACAAAACTCGGTTGGGCTTATGATCTAAAGACGGTTTCTCACGAAATGATTGAAAAGCGTGCATGTAGAACTGGAGATGGTAC